TGACGAGTTCCCATCACTGTTCTTTCCGAACACAAACCAGGGGCATAGTTTCTCCGTCGCTGCCCTGGAAAACCCACCATCGACTGGGGAACGATTCTTCACTTGAATCAACATCATCAACACTTCCTGCTCCTCTTGTTCACCCCTCGTTGTCTCCCCACCGACTGGCCTGCTGTTGGATCTCTTCTTAAACATCGGGATCAACAAATCGGCTCCATACTGGTTACGGGGGAAAATACCTGCAGCTTGACGCCCCAGCAAAAACCAAAGCGTGTCCTCATTCGGCTCGAGCCGCAACTGCACATAGTGGGTGAACCCCACGTACCAACCCTCCCACTGCGAGCGCCACTCGTTGATTTCTGGTCTCTTATCTTCCGCGTTGTACATCCCCTTACAATATATCGGTCTCTCCTTGTTGCCTTGCAGCACGTCCAAGAAATCCTGCACCGGTACAAATTGCCCGATCGTGTGGTAGCACTGGGAAAAGTCTTTGTCCCCCATCACACACGTGTCCATCGCCAGAAGCAGCAAAATCCGAGCAACCATCTCGCCAATTTCGCCAACTCCACCGGTGTCCAATGCTTCATCCAAAAGGAGGTTCTTGAGTTGCGGCAGGATATACTTTGCCAAACCATGTTTCAGTTCATACCACACTTTCATCGCTCCTAAGGCGAGCACTGGGTCCGAAGCGTAGCTGGTGACGTAACCTTCTCGATTGAAATTCACATACGCGAGAATCGCCATGAAGTCGGCAGTCGCCCGAGATGCCAAAGCCGACGTTGAATGCGGGCGCACGCCCAGTCGGCAAAGCATGGAGGCGACACCAAACATGGTATCCTTGTTGTACGCATCTTGCGAAGGAGGGAGCCCCAGTAGCAGCTTGTTCGCCGCAAGATTGATCACATCTTCTCTATCCGCAGGATTGGGGCAAGTGCTGTACCACATCGGACGCCCCATGCGGCACAACGCGTGCCAAGCTTGACTCGCATCCCCGGTAACGATTCTCTTGTACATAGCTATCTTAGCACGTTCTTGCTGTTTCTTCTTCTCTTCGTCTTTTTCAGCTCCCACCGCAACCTGAGTTTCCTCTTCCATTTCTTCATCTTCTGCTCCCGCATCTAGTATTTCCTCTTTCATTTCTTCATCTACATCTTGGATGTCCTCTTTCATTTCTTCATCTTCGCCGGCTTGTTTTTCTTCACAGTATTGATCCCAGTGTGCGTCCATTGTCTCAGCTAACACAACTGGCGCAAACGATGCCAACTCTCCATCGAAAAGCCGAGATGATGGGTCCAACAACAGCGGAGGCGCCAGGTCCGAGATCCTGGAGTTCGTATCAATCAGCACGCCGAAAATGCATCCACGATGGCCGATATCTTTGTTCACGGATCTGAGAGCATTTCGCAACATTCGGAAGTCATTCTTCTTGCCTCCCTTCTCAGCCAGCAGACTTCTCGCTTCATCGATCACCAGAACCACGATTCTGCCATTTGGATTCTTCTCGGTGGAGGTATCCCCCTCCAGCGTGTCTGTTTCATCCGAAAGTTTCGCCTTTACAGAGGTGTCCGCTGCCTGTTCGGTAAACAGCTTCAGCCATTCCTTCTGAACGTCCGCCCAATGCTTGTTCGCGTAGACGTAAATTGTCTTCAATCGACTGGCGATGTCTTCCACTTCGGAGCCTTCTTGAAACAGCCAACCACGAAGCTCGCTCGTAGCCTTGGGAAACCCCGTCGACTCGTGCACACGGGCACACATGTACAGCACTTTCATGTTCAAGGCGCTCTTTTGAGCCTCAATCGCGAGTTCACGCACCATCCGACTCTTGCCGAAGCCAGAACTCTGCACGACCGCCACACATGGCGCCTTGTACTTTGTGGGGGTGTAGGCCTTCCAGCAGTCCCGCAGATACTGTGCGAGGTCGAGGTGGGCTTCGCCGAGGTACCGGCCCTTGGTGAACGCCTCCGCGATTCGCTTCATTTCATTTTCATCCAACTTGGGCGTGCCGGAGCGGGCTTCAGGGACAAACTTTGCCAGGAGGTCTTTCACCGTCTTGGCCGCAATAGTTTGTGCAAGAGGTTGAGACACGCGTGTATGCCCGTATGCTTTTCTGATCTCCACCCGTATCAATCCATGTATCTGGTTCTGGGAGGCCTCGAGTTGGAGTGTGGCTTT